GGGTTATGGACTCCATCCTTTGATTCACTCTATATATTGTATATTTTTCTGAATTGTTTGATTACTTTCTTCCATCTCTGGTTATATAAATCTTTGTCAATGAATACTTTCTACTTAATTGCATTTTTCATTCTGTATTTAAAATGATACAGCAATGTTCTTTGGGTAGATTGTTTTTAAAAATATAAAATGTATATTCTTAATAATTTAGGAATAAGTGCGATTTTTCCATCTCTGGTTATATAAATCTTTGTCAATGAATACTTTCTACTTAATTGCATTTTTCATTCTGTATTTAAAATGATACAGCAATGTTCTTTGGGTAGATTGTTTTTAAAAATATAAAATGTATATTCTTAATAATTTAGGAATAAGTGCGATTTTTCTAAAGAGCAGACTGCTATACAAGTCCAATAAAAATAGTAGTGTCATAACTGTATAATAATAGTAGCATCTGTAATATCACTAGCAACTTTATTAATGAAGATGTTGGAATAATGAGGATGCAATATAAAGTTTTCAGTATTCTGATAAATGATATTTTAAGTGAAGGAATGCTGTTTGATACTAGGATATCAATCCAACACCCCAATAAGAACACGTGTCCCTTTTAATATGTAAAGAATGATGTAAGCATTCAAATCAATGAGCTGTGAACTTTTGTACAGAAATTATATGCATGTTGAACATAACCTCTGAACATTACTCATGCAGAGTTTGTTACTAAACAAGAATTTCCCAGAATTATGCTGAAATCAAATACTTAAGATATAATTTCTGATGTCAACTGTTGATCGGTAAATTCCAGGGCAATAAGAATATGCAAAATGTTATTGCAGAAAGTGCATTACAATGCAGCACCAAACTTTAGCTTAAAAGTAGAAAAATGTTTTCTTATGCCAATCTGCAACTAACATTCCAAATGCATTTCCCAACTTCATGAAGTGCCTGAAGTTATTAGCAACCCGAAGGTAAATATTAAGAAAAATGTTTGCCTCAAATGATGTCTTTCCATTACATTCTAGAAAAACCATGGGGAGGATTATGACTTTCAAACTGGACTCAGATAATGATATCAACTCCAATTGTAAAACAGAACAAATTTGACATTCTTAATATTTATTGTATGGGTAAACACTATTTTTTTAAAATTAAAGTAGTGAAAGAAAGGATACATAGTGTTTTTAAAGTTCAGCTCCGCAAGACTCTAGTCCACAGACATGATAACTAAGGACACATACTGTATGCCTGAACTGGTTTTTCTGCTCAGCAGACAGCATCACAGTGTAGGGGAGGTCAGGCGTGCTGTTATGATAGCAAAAAGCAACTAAAGTAGCCTTCACAGATGAATTACAAAGTTATAGTCAATGGTGAATAGAAATTTTAAGACTAAAATAAATTTGAGTCATTAAGAAGACAAAAAATAGTTTCTTAGCTATGAAAACATAATCAACAATTTCCTTTAGCAACATTTACAAAGCAGAACTGCTTTGACTTCATTACTCAGAAAGATTCAAAGTATTTTGTATAATAAGAGGGAAATAGAGATGCATGTATACGTCTATTAGTTTAATCTTAACATAGCTAATTATTTTAAATCTTCTAATAAAATAGCTCAATTGATTAAGATTTAAAGATATTCAATAGCAAAACAAAGAATTTTATTGTCAGAAGGTTATTTAAAAAAGAATTCAGATGATCTATGGTAATAATAAAGAATTTGCCTTTTTTTTTTTTTTTTAACAGATGACTACTGTATATCAGTGAATATGCACACTGGCAGTACTGACAAGCAATGAAACTTCAGAACTGTAATAAGTAATTAAACAAAAAAAGGGCCAGTTCTCACCTTTAAGTACCAACCAAGGAAATGAGCAGGAACAAATCCATCTAGTTTATCCTGTAATTCAAGTAGATTATACAGATTAGAGTTACTTTCTGTTTAATAAAATGGATCAACATAAATGACCACCATGACTACTGAAGCATATATACAACATGAAACATCTCTCACAAAAAATTTAAAATATTTAAAATATCTGCTAAATGATTAAAAAGTATTTTTACATCTTACATCTAATGTACAGTATAAATTTTCCTATCATCCAGATAACCAAAAAGATTAATCTTCTTCTTGTTTGCATTTTTATAATCTATCTAGAAGGTGAAAAATGGGTGCTTATCTTAGACAATACAATATCTAACTATCGAATATTCCTGAGATGATACCTTCTGCTGTTGTATACATCTCATCCCAGCAATACCAGAGACAAATACAGTTTTCTTAACTTTCAAAAAATGCACTAATTAAAAAGTAATTACCTTTGATCCATGGAGTCTGGAAATACAGCATTAGTCCCAATCTGGTTTACAGATTTTGGGCATCAATGTTTTGGATCAGCTTTTTAGTCCCATAAAAAATAAAAGCTTACCTAACATATAACACAGTTCACATTTTTACAGATCAGCAGCCAACAGACTGTAGCCTAGAAATATGGACTTTAGCAGCAGCAGATAACAGATATAGAATTCCTTCAATATATTTCAAAAGTATGGGAGTAATTAAATAATTTAAGTCTTAATATACTCAATTACAGAGGAATGGATAGCATGATCAGGTTACTACATAGGTAACCCGATATAGTTACATAGTTACAGAAACCTGCATACGCTTTGTATTACAAAAAAAGATCCACATTCAAAACATTAGATCTAGCAATATATATAAATCAATAACATTGGAAAAAAACCCTTTATCTTTGTTGTACATTTGGTTAGCTATGAGAAAACAACAACAACAAAACCAAAGCCCTGTGCAAGGCCATGATATCTTAGCCCCCATGCACAGGAAATAACTTTTATGGCTTTCAATATTTCATTACAGGTAATCCTCATTTAGCAATTGCCTTGGATAGCAACTATTCACAAATACAGCGGTAATACATGGTAATTAAATATTCATTTTCTGACTACTGCCTGCATTTAGGACAACAAATGCCTTCAGTGTGAAACTGATTAAGGTCTGGTCAGTTTCATGCAGCAGCTGTGAGGGCTGGAGGGTTGTAATCCACTAATTAAGGTCACAGAGCTAAGCTTGTTAACTTGCCCTTAGCACTTTTTAGGGAAGTGCTCAGCTGGGGAGAGCAGCAGCTCATGAAGAGATAGCTTGTTTAAGCAAACTCTGCCCTGCAAGGGGGAAAAAAGGGGGCGGGGACAGGTCTGGCACAGGACACTGTACCAGAGAACTTTATCTAAATGAGATGGCAGCAATCAGTGATCTTCACAGCATCTCTCTATCCCTCTCAGAGACGTGTTCACTTAGCAACCATTCTGCTTAATGACTAAGTTGTCTGAACCAACTGCAGTCACTAAACAAGGACTACCTGTAGTATATCTTCCTAGTAAAAAGCTGAAAATTTGTTTTTAAAGAAATGAAACCTGAAATTCTTAGAAAGTTGAATTGGAACTCATCTATGGAAGCACTGATGACACACTCTTAGTTATGAAACAGTTGATGTTGGATTAAGCAACAATTATCAGGCATCCATGGTAATCAAAGAAGTAGAAAATCTTAGAACATGAAAATATTGTTAAATGAATACAAACTCTCCATTTCAGCATCTTACCCAAATATTGTGAAAGGCATCTGTTCCATTATCTGGGTCATATATAAGGCAATTTCCACCATAGTCTCTTTCAGGCAAAGGCACTCCTAAATTAGGATCAATAAATTTCATAAACTGTCTTCCATCATGTACAGTCTGCAAAATTAAATATATGTTCAAGAACATCAACATTTCTTTAAAAAAGTTACATTTGTTAAATTGGCAATACAAAAAGAAAACCCTTTTAAAACTTTAACCTTAAAGCATACATAATGGCTCTCCTGACCCTAAAAAGAGTTGAAGAAAGAAACTTAGATGTCTAGTAAGGCCATACACAATATTCCAAGTTTGGAACAGCTATATTTTGAGTGCTTTGAACTATGAACAAGACATCACTACTCTGGACATTTGTCTTAGGCTTATTTCATTCAACTTGTTCAAAGTGCCCCATAATCCTGCAAATGGCTTGTTTACTTTAAAAAAAAAAATATTCCAGCTACAAAGACTTCAAGACTGCATTAGCCAATAAAACAGCACATGTTGGTTCAATCTCTGCTGATACTGGCTGGGGCTGAGGACAAAAGGAGAGTGTGCTTGAGGGACAATTAGTCAAACACCTAGATATGCAAAAAAGAGTGCTGCCTGTCTAATAATTAAATTTAAGCATGCTTTACACTCTTTGTTATTAGGTATTTTATTATCTCTTTTTCAGGCACTTTTCCAAGTATACTGTGCATATGTAGAAAATGCAAAAATGTATTATTTTATGGGCTGGGCTTGGCAAGTAGATTGCCAGATAAGAAAAAAGTACAAGTGAATAGCTGGAAAAGTGTATTTTTGCCATTGTTCAGTGAATGACTACTTTTGCTTCTTTGTTGGGAAACACTTTTTGGATGTAGGCACTTGTTGCAGAGAGCATGTTTAACTGTTGCTTTATCTGTAAGGATTTTTTTGTAAAAAAAAAAGTATTATTTATTATATTTAAGATCAATTTAAAATTTTCTTTGCTTTGGGTGTTGAGTAGCATTCATCATGAACTACCATCCAATCTACTTTTGCAATTCTGGGATGAAAAAAGTAAGAGAATAAAGTACTTATTCCAAGTTTCTGTTATTCTGTATGAAGGAACATTCAGAACGTTTCAAATTTTATTCTATTGGACCAAGCTTCATTCAAAAAGTACTATGTTCCATGTTCTAACAGGCCATTCTAAATATTTCATTCCAAATATTTTTCTTTTTCATGTATACCATTAATGTCCAGTTAGTGCTTATAAATAAAAAATTAAAAATCAAAGTAATTTTTTTTAATCAATCAGTTTTCTACAGACTATGGCCATCCCTAAGAAAATATCCAACGTTTGATTCTCCAAACTTCCCAAAAATAATTGCTTCACTGAAAATTCACATTAACAGTATCATAATTAAAATAACCCTCCCTAATCCTGACTGGGTTTTGGTATTTATAAGACACATTAACTTCATCTATGATCCAGTTAAGCATGTTATATGAATGTATAGCCATTGTTTCTGCTTGAAAAATAGAGGCAAACTAGCTGTTATCCATTTGAGATTGATGTGATTTCTTCTTTCAGAGGATGAACTAGAACCTGGAAATAAGGGCTAAAAATTTTCAGCAGAATAATTATCTTACTAGCTAAAAGGTTTGTTCCAATACAGAAAGCAAAACATCCTAAACTTTCCAAAGGAAAGTATCACTCAGAAGTGTTGTTTGATTGTTTACATACGTGTCAAAAACAAATGAGTTAAAAGTACATTTTGACTCTTGCTTTGTAAACCAGAAGGGACAATTTTATCTGTAGAAGGTCTAGATTAAATCCTTAGAATCTTCAGTCACAAAAAGTTCAGTAGATGATGATGAGAAATACCTCAGCCCAAGATCCTGCAGAGTCACTGCCAAACAGATTAAACCAGACTTTTCCAACCCACTGCTGAGAATTCTGGGAGCTGAAATCTACAAGATGCTTAGGCTGGGGAAAGCTGCATTATACGATATAATACTAGAGAGCTAGTTTAATGTAGTGAGGATGCTGGCCTAGAAATCAAGAGACAGTGAATTCTAGGCCTGCCTTGGGCATGAAAGCCAGCTGGGTGACTTTGGGCCAGTCATTCTGTCTCGGGCGGTTGTTGTGGGGAAATAGGAGGCAGGAGTATCAGGTATGTTCACTGCCTTGAGTTAACTAAAATGTATTAAAAAAGTAGGATAAAAATCTAATCATAACAACAACAACAACAGTCAAATGAATTAAAAGGTTTCAATTAAAATGATGTCACTTGTGCATTTGAATGCAGTATGCTTTCATGGTAAGAAGTGAAGTTGGTGATTATGGTCTCTAATTTTTATCTCTAAGGTTTTCTTTAAAATATAAACTTTAAATTCCTTACCTGAAAGAGTATGAAGATGAGGAAAAGCTCATATACAACACTGACACATAGCCAAAACCGCCAGTAAGCTAGTAGAAAAAATTAACCAAAGAAGAAAAACATAGATATATTACAGTTTGAGCATAGGGCTAAACTAGTAGACAGAAATACTGTAGGATCTTTAGGAATAAGAAGAAGCATCATTTGCATGGAACTGTATGTGGTTTGAACGAAGTCTACAAAGCCTTATTAAAAAGAAAAATACAGGAGGCCCAAATGGCTAACTGGAGAAGGTTAGTGCAATCAGTTATAGAGAAAATTCTTCCACATTTTGAGGATTTATAGTTCACTCATCTCCAAAACGAGATTCGGGGCAGCAAAATACTGTAGAGTACTTTGATCAATTCATATGAATTAAATTTTAGTGGGCTCTTTGCCTTAACTTCTTTTTCTACTTCCAATTATATATTTTTTAAAAAATCACATATTTTTTAAAATTAGTAATAAAAATGAAACAGGGTTGAAAAGTAGGGCAAATAGCCATTGCAATTTGGCTAATATATCCAGAACAAGGCATTCTTACATAACAAATATAATTTTATCTTGTAAAACAGCTGTGAATTATAGTGAAAGTAGATCTGACTTCATCTATATTGCACATCTCATTTATTCAGCATCATACCACAACATCATTTCAAAGTGGAACGGTTTAAAGTCAAGGAAATTACAGATGAGGGTAGTGGCAGCAAATAAACATTCCAAGAACTAATAAAAGGGCATTCTGGAAATACCAGAAGGTTTACAAGAAATTGAACAATCAGCATCTTGTGCTGCATTTACTTCATGTATCCTATTTTACTATCAAGAAAATATATCTTATTTAGACAGGTAAGACCGATTTGTTGGTCACATTGGTCAAAATAAAGAAAAAGTGAACTTAGCTAAAAGAAGGTGCCCCCAGAATTACTCGGAATAGTTTCTCAAAACTTAAACTAATCCACCCTGATAAATTAGAATTTGCAAGTACTTTCTTTAAGGAACAGCAATCTACAGGTGTGAGTTTCAGAAGTTCCGTTCAGGATAAAAATAACAGTTCTGATAGTATATTTATTATTTTAATTACTACAACTGTTATCACATAAAGAGGTTACTGGCACAGACAGTTGTAAAGGGAAAGTGTACTTCATAGGCATACCTAAGCATTACAAAAAATTACCTTAGTGTCATTAAAATTAATTCTAACTATACCTATGTTGCATTTTTAAAATTATTGTTCTGATATTATACCTTCCATTATGAAGATGCTCCAATATGTTATTTAGCTAAAGAGAAGTTATAAGCATATAAAAAGAAATGTTGGAAATATTTAATAACACCACTATTAGAATGTCTATGCATATGTTCAAAAGAAACATGGCTTTGCTTGTTTCACCAGCACACATGCTTATTGAAGCATCCTTCTCTGCCAAGGATAATAATGCTTGTAGTGGGAAGAAAACTCCTCCAGGAAACTGGACTACCCACTGCCCCTTCAACTGATATAGCTGGGCTTGGGAAAAGACAAGCAATGAACTGGAGACTTCAAACCCCCATGAGTACCTTACAAGTGTTCATATGAACCACTCGTGAAACATATATCTTCTATTAGCAGTTTCATGACACACTCACAAAACTCAAGTCACATTTGCAACAGTCATTGCAGTGCTTAGCACTCATTTATTCACAATAACCATTTCCTCACTTATCATCGGTCCTGTTATTTTTATTATGGTAAAGAGTAAGCTTTCATAAATGTATGAGTAATGGGTAATATTAGATACATCTCTAAATTATTTGACTAATATGGTTTTTAACTTAAACATTACTTATATATTCTTCTAAATATGTCAAATTAAGCAGTAAATCGGAAAATTTACATCAATATCCAGCAGTATGTTGAGTTCACAGAATTTACTCCTATATAAGTGAATACATGGTTAGTCTGGACAGCGATCAGATTAAGACTTTCAAAAAGCTATGATAGATTTTGTTAAGGAAATCTTGATAGATGGTATTAAAAATGACTAATTTCAACATTTATATATGATTACTTTATCAGTCATATTTTAATGCTATGAGCTATTTTGATTACCTGGATGAGGTCTTGAAAATGGACCATCTTTTGCTTGAGTGACTCCAAAACACAAAAAAACTAAAATGCTGGCTATAATACCTCTGGAAAACATTAAGAACAAAATACTCCTCAGTATATTGTAACAATACTTGCATTTATTAACATGTTGAATGTTCATGTAATATCTAAAATTAGGAGATATGATTAATCATTAATTCTATCTTGGCTAGTGATTGGGCCAAAATGGAAGTTTTGCCTAGCAGACTTGGCCCCTTTAATGAACCTTGACAAATATCAGTTGGACTGGAAGGCAGCTTCACTGAACAAACTGCTATCACATAGGCTATCACCAGAATTTCTGCTATCAATGAAATGTAAACAATCTATAAAGATTCTTAAATAATGTGTTATGGACATAGATTATAAAACTATCTAAACCTATTTTCCAGTGACATTAGGTCTTAGAAATAGATACCTCACTACCCTGGAATTGCCTAGATATTGCAGAGGCCCCTCTTGGTTTCCCGTTAATATATAGTATTGCCATCTGCCTTGGTGGATGGCTAGTTTACTAAAATTTCCTATGAGGAAGAAACATCCCATGTGAGTCAGATGCAAACAAAACAGCTAGCTATGTCTTCTTTACTAAGAATATTACAGAAACATGTAGAGTAAGTTATTTCACTTTTTTAAATAAAATCTTCCAGGTTGTCCAAACAATTACTATGTCACCTTCTTACTATCAAATAGGAATCCACACTTTACACATAACACAGTCAAATTCTATACAGCAGCATTTAGAGCTTGATATGAAGTAACAGTGGGCTCTTCATAATATTTCTATGCAATTAGTGAGTTTGATTAAACTGTATCCAATCTTGATATAGTTAATATGTCAGTATTATTTTTTGTTTTCTGTTTGTCTTATGCTTAACATTGTGGGGGGTTTTTTTTGGAACCATGATAAAATTAATGACTGAATGAATGAAACTTTTAAGGCAATCCAATCTTGATGAAGTATCATGAAGTTTGCTTAAGAGACTGGCAAACTTTAGTTTGCAAGATTTTGCATCTAGTAGCGATTGGACTTGATATCTACATATCCAACTCTGTTTTTCTACAGTTCTATTTTTACAGAACTGATCTACTAGAACCAAATACTAAATGGTGGCAACATAGAAATGATTCTTTTCAGTCTCAGAAATGAGTTTGTAGACCTGGCCAACCAAGCATTCCTCCATCTCAACAACTCAGTTTAGACAAGGGAGAAAAGTCTTTGTGTTAGTGCTATTAGAAATTGGAAATCCTGGACGAACTAATGCAGATGGCCAAGAAATCTACCAAAAGACTCTGATCTATCTAGCTTCTGGCCATATAATCTGATAAACTGCCTGTTGTAAAATATGCTTCAGAATGAAAGCTTGTAACCTGGAAATAAATTCAGGTTTATTTTTATATTAAACTATTATAAAGCTTATTATCATAAGCCAATAAATAATTCAATCTAATAATAGTTCAATCTAACCAAATTATAACTCCTACTCTATTAAATCCAAACTAATCCTATTATACAAAAGCAGACATCTTTTTAAAAAGGGGAGAAAGAGGGCCAACCTTACTGAGATCAACTTAGAAGAGGGTGCCTCAAGTAATTATCTTGATGATTTTTATTTCTAGGCTAGCTATATCAGTAAGAGGAAGATATTCTCAGAGATACACTCTGGACCAGAAATATTGGAACAAGGATAACTTTTCTGGCATTTGGCCTCTGTGCACCACCACACTGAAGTTGAAAGGAAACACACCCAGATGGGAGTGAAGTC